GTAAGTGCCTCTTAGCATGTATTTCTCTCCATTTTTCTTTTCTTTCTTCTTTCTGTTGTGTTTATCTTACCTCGTTTTACCTTCAGATTATAACCCACTTGAATGTCCTTTGCTTTCGTTCTCAAGGTCGTATTTACACTGAGATCTCTCAAGGACACATTCAGTTTCAGTTTGATTTGTTCTGAGGAAATTTTTATTTTTTAAACTTCTTGTGGAGATTGTCATTTTGAAATGATTTTTCTTTGAAGAACTTAGTTGCTCAATGAGGCAGCATGAAATGGGATAAAATGAAAGCCTGATATTGGAATATCAGCTGTTCCAATTCCAAGAGTGGTTCATGAATTTTTAACTTGTTCAAACACTTGGTAGCACTTCCCTTCATTTGTATTTCTACATACACCCACACGTATGCATATATCTTGTCTTTTTACATTAACTCATACACACCCTCTATTTGTTTTTGAAATCACTACTTTGATTCTTTCTAAGCCTGACCTAACAACCTTTTCTTCTTATTTTGTCCCTGCATTAAAATTAAAATATTTTTTACTTAAAGGCATTTAGAAAATCCAATGTTAGTTATTTTCTTCCTTTTGATCCTGAATCATATGAAATAGCCTTCTTTGGAATTTGAAAGATTTCAGTTTAACAATTATGAGTATTTTATTGTGAAAATATGTAGGCTGATTTAGAGTGTAAGAAAATATTCTGCCAGAATCTTCTTTAGTGTTTTGTAAACATTGTATTTTGTTTCATTTTGGCTAATTTCTTTGTAATTTTTTTTTCTTACAAAGTTTTGACAACTGGTCTCTCCAACTTTTCTTGGGTGCCTGTTATGTTTTTAGAATTAGAAAAAGTAGGGTAGATAGCAAAATAGCAAAGATGAAAAAATAAGCCTGAATGAAACAATAATAATAATAATAATAGTAATAATATTGTTCTATTTTATTTTTAGAGTTAGTCTTATTTGTTTTGATATCGGGAAATCTATCTCCAAACATTTAGGAAAAGATTAGTAAACTAAAATAACTTGTAAAAACAAATTTCTTTAAAGATGTGTTTCCAATTGGTGATCCAATTATAGATTGGTCTATGAAACACTTGAAATATCATTGGCAAAAATCTGTAAATCCTACCATAAACATTTTCTGATTTAATTTTCTCCAAGATATATAAAAAAAAATAAATCAGTGGCTGACTTAAATACTTTTGGTCTCCTAAATCTAGGAACAAAATCTATTACTACTCTTGGAATTAACAATAATCTCAGTTAATGCCAAATTATTACAACTTTTTGAAAAATTAATTAGCTTTGTATGGCAGTTGTCTTATCTCAGGTAGGATTTATTAAGTGCATGAAAAGTTTACTCAACTAATTGTATGCATAGTGACGCAGCAAATATTTTATTGAGTAAATAAATGGAATAAAACTACTCATAAAATATTGCATTCTATTCAGATTAAGACAAGTAATAAAATTATAGTAATAAGTGTCTTGACCCAGAGTGTTGGGATAAAAAGCAACAAAATAAGATGTCAGAAAATCAGTAAAAAAGTAAAAGTGATCCTTGGAATGTTGAATTCAAGTTTGTGTTTTAAAGGCTGCTTCAAATCCTCTTGTCACTTCTATTAAGATACTGGATTAACCTCAATCATTTTAATGTTTAGCTGTGTATCTGACAAGGGTTCTTTTTTAATGAATTTCACAGTAGTCTTCAGCTTAATTTCTCTCCATCTTTTAAACGACCTTTATACAAGGAATATCAACTATGTCCCATGACCCATTCTGTCATTATAGTAGTTGTTTGCTAATAGTTGTTTCATTGGTGCTAGCTATTGAGATAATCTAATCTATAATGTAAAACACAATTTTCATTTTATGTATTTTTTTTTTTTTTTTGTCATGCAGCCTGATCTCACCTTATTAAAAGTGGCATTACTCAATAAGTGAACTTTTGTTACTATAACAATCTTATTTGTAAATAGACACGATCAACATGACAGATACCCAAGAAGGGCCAGAGAGAGTACAGTAGTCAAAAAATAAAAAAAATATGGTATTTATTTCTTTGTGTTTCCATATTAGCTTTTTTTGAATTTTTTTTTTTTTTTTTTTTTACTGATTCTTAAATGCAACAATAATTAATTGTATGGACAAAAGTCTGAGATCACTTCTACAGAAAATATAACCAATGCTATTATTTATATAGTGCCATCATTGTTTTTTTTGTAGTGTTTATTGGTATAAATGATAAAAACTGTTATGTGATAACTAATCTCCAAGTAAGTGCTGAAGATGAAGAAGAGACTGGAAGCAACAAAGAGGTGGTTCTACTAATTCTAAAAATACTGTAGACAGAAAATGTGAGCAACAAGAAAATTTTAAGGCAAATAGTAGGGACAAGGAAACTTATACTTACAACTAGAAAGAAACAGCTGAAATTTCTAGGAGGTATAATGAGAAAAGAGTGCTTGGAGACTTTAACACTTCCAGGACTGTTATAGTGAAACACACCTATTCTATAGTTAATAGACTCCCCCACCTATAATAAGTAGGAGTAGTAGGAGTCGCTCAGGGGGTTCGGTCAGTCAGTCGATGCTGGACGACCATTAGTTGGATATTAAAGTATCAGCAACCACGACTAGTTTTCTCTGCGTTATACCTATTTTTATCAAGTTCCTAACGTTTTGTACGTCGAACCTATTTTAGGACCGACTTAGTACAAATACAAGCCTCCACTGTGAAACCACTCTACAACAAGGACATATTGAAAAGGTGGTGGAAATGGTGAGTAACCTACTTAATGAGTATGTGTGACCCAATGGCAGAAGGGGGATGATAACGGGTCAAAAATTCCTTAGAGCAACAAAAGATAGAAAATTGTGGAGAGCCATGACAACCCATGTTTTGAAAGGACTCTGCATATAAAAGTAGTCAATGATATAATGGCTAAAATTTATGAGCCAAAGGCTCAAAACTTTCATTCACTTTCACATAATTAGATATAAAGTGATACAACAAATTTTCATCAGAGGAGGGGGGGAAAAATGAAATGATATGCTAGTTGTATTTGAGTATCAGACATATTTGAGCATGAAGAAAAATTTTGGCTTTTCTCTCTGACCCTTGATATCATTTCTACATCCTCAGTTCATTTAATCATTTTCTGATTACTAGCAAAATAAAGATGAGTGAGTTGTCTAATGGATATAGACATGGCATTCAAATTCCAGCTTAGACTTTTGCATTCACTTTCACTCAATTGCCCTTTGAAAAAACCTGCAACTATCTCTTCTTCCACCAGCTATGGGCTAAATAACAATGTAGACTGCACTCTCTAGCCTAGTGTGGCAACCTGTCTAAGAGATGGTAAACTATGAATTCCAAATTATAGAGACAGCAACAGGGAACCACCCTACTGTCTTAAGCAAGAAGGCATGGCAATTCCCAGATAATAGAGAAAAGCAATGTGTAGGGATCTCTGATCGCCTACATCCTGAGTAGATGCAACACTTTAAATTCACAGAATAATTTGATTGTATGCAGAATGTAAATACATTGCCAAGGATTTTAGAACAGAAATGCATTGTCAGTGTTCAGGAATGAAGGCACAGCTCTCTAGTAGACTGAATGGGACTATTATTATATGTTTTATTATATATAAAAGGCTCTTTGGATATGTATCATATTTACAGCTTCTGGCATTTTAACATTGATAATAATTGTTGTTTTTGCTGTTAATTTTCTGGATAATAAATCAGATTCTTTTCATGTGAAAGAAATGTCTTAATATTTATCATGACACATTCAAATGATCTGATTTTAAAATGTCAAAGTGTTCATTCATTTCTAACATCCTGTTTGGGAAGTTTAACATCTGATTTATGGCTTGTGCCAAATGGCTAGGTTCAGAAGTGTTCTGCCTAGAACAAACCTAAACAGAAGAAAAACAACTGGCAGTTGAATTTTCTGAATATTTAGGTAGACTTAAAAAGGAAAAAAATATTCTATATATTGTTAATTTGTATGTGTATGAAAAAGAGAAATAACCATGACATTCTGCTCATATGTATGTGCACATAATCAGACACACACACACACACACACACACACACACACACACACACACACACACACACACACACACACACACACACAAAAAAAAAAAAAAAAAAAACTCAGCCTAAGACCATAAATATTATTTTTAACTTAATATGAAAATTAGAAAATCAGCAGTCAGTTGCTGAAACCTCCTGATGAGTGGACTGAATGACGACAAAAAGTTTTGTCTATGTAACTCTGGAGTTGGAGTGCTGAATATGGCATCAATCAGCTAACTAAGAAATTTAATATTTGTATAAATCATATATTGATGGGACTTTGAAGTATTGGAAAACTTTTAACCTAATTTTCAATTCCCAAAGTGATTCTTTGGATTTTTTTAATTTTGTTTAAAACTTAATTTTACACTCCTGGTCCTAATGATAAAAAAGATAGTTTAAAATCAATAACTATTTCTATCAGTAAAACTAAAATCTATAGATCATAATAACACGCAAGTTAAGTATGATGTAAATTTTATTTGTGTTAAAAAAAAAAAAAAAGAAAAAAAAAGTTCACTAGTTCCATAAAGTTCACTAGTTTAAAGTCCATTTCAGTTCAAAATAAATTTTTTTTTAATTTCTTCTTAAACATTTTTAATTCACTGACTTAGTATTACAAGTTATTAATTGAATAATTATAATAAAAATAAATGTAATATAAACATAAAATGAATTTACATTGTTGTTCTGCTGGACTCTCTTTTTAGACATTTTTTTTTTTTTAATTTATAAAAAATAAAATAAAAAAAAACTGAATGTATGGAATTTCTGCCAATGTCACATTTGATTTCTTCACATAAAGAACTGTGTGTTTTTATAATAGTTTTAATCCATAAAATCATTTTTTATCTTGGTTATTGAAAAGATTTATTTTTTATTTAAGTAGCATACTATGT